CGCGCGTCGTCGCGGGCGTATGCCGAAAACCTTCAAAACCCATCGGTTTCGGAAGGATTTCAAAATCGTGTGTCCAAAAAACCTACAAAAACCCAAGGTTTCGCAACACGGATTTTCAACAAAAGCGTGCGCGCGCGCTCTTGCGTCGTCGTCGTCGTCGTCGCCGTCCTCCCTCCTCCCGCGTCGTCGTCGTCGTCGTACGTCGTCCTCTGTCTTTCCTCGTGTTCGTCGTCGTCGTCCTCTTTGGCGTCGTGGTCGTTTCCGTCGTCGTTGTCGCCGTGGTCGTCCTTCCTCCTCCTCCCTCGTCGTCGTCGTCGTCCGTCGTCGGCGTCTCGTCGTCGTCCCTCCTATTTCGTCGCCGTCGTCGTCGTCGTCGTTGTCGTCGTCGTCGTATTCCCTCCTCCCTCGTCGTTGTCGTCGTCGGCGTCGCCGTCCTTCCTCCTTCTTCGTCATTCGCGTCGTCGCCGTCCTCCCTCCTCCCTCGTCGTTGTCGTCGTTGTCGTCGTTGTCGCCGTCGTCGTCCTTCCTCCTCCCTCGTCGTCGCATTCGTTGGCGTCGTCTTCGTCGTCGTCGGCGTCGGCGTCGTTGTCGTCGAAGTCGTCGGAGACGTCGTCGGTATCGTCGTAGTCGTTGTCGTCGGTGTCGTCGTAGTCGGTCTTCAGAGGTTTTGCAAACCAAGTTGCGGGTGGGCCCGCGCTTCTGGCCCCTTTTGCACCTCCTGCCCATCTGTTCCGACTGCTTACCAGACCGACCCAACCTGACCATATGTTGTTCCACACAGATTGCACCACGTAGACTGGTCCACATAGATCAGACAACATACATTTGCTAGAATCACACAGTTTGGGGTTCGCGATGGCAAGTATTGATGTACTTGTTGTTCTAATTCTGGAGGCGTCTTCTCCTCCATTCTGGGAGCTTCTTGTTCCTCCAGGATGGAGGCTCGACCTCCCGGAATTGGGGCTTCGGTTTCAAATCCTCTGAAAAAAAAAGTTCCTGGGGCGACTTCCCTTCTTTGGGGTCGAAGCCTCTGCGCCCCCCGTGCGCGATGCGCAGGACTGCCGCTGGTAATCGGCGATCGTTCTCTCAACGCTGCCGGACACCGTGCGCGGGGCATTTCTGGGTGAGAGGCAGAGTGAGCAAGCGCAGCAGCAGCAGCAGAGTAAGAATGGGATGTTGACGAGGCTGCTGAAATCATGCCCCAGAGGCCCTCCTGACCCTCCTCGCAGGCTGGCCCTGGAAAGAGGAGCGGGCTGGGGGCAGGAGGAGGTGAGGATGCAAGACAGGCGCTTGGGAGGGTGGCGATCCGCAGTGGCTCATCGGCAGCCAACGTTCTGCGGAAACATCCAGCAGCTCGATCTGTTCACGACGTGGCCCCCTGGACCTCTGGCCTCTGGACCACCTGCCAAGGGCCGACGTTTCATCACGACCCGTTCTGTTGACAGCAGACACGCCTCTGGGGCCCCAAGATGGCGAAAAACGGCCGCCCCGACCTTGCCTGAGCCGCCGGACATTCGGGGTACGCGTTCGCCGCGGCCCCCTCGCAGCCAGCACCTGGCCGCCCCGCAACGTCGACTACGCGTAGAGTGACCCGTCGCCGCAGTGAGATTCTCGGGGAGCGCCAGGGGCCGAGCCCAAGCACGCGAGCCGCCAACGTCGCACCGCAGGTCACGATCGGCAGGCCACGCACCAAAGGCCGCTCTTGCTGAGCCTGGCGGCTTTCGGGCCATAACTTGGGCCTCCGGCGGCCGTTCGGAGCGATCCAGGTACCCCCCGACCTCTCTCGGTGAGGGGAGGCGTCCCGAGGCGATAGATCCTCCAAGAACCAACGAAGACCACCGGAAACTTCAGAGGGACTGTCCAGGGTCGTTCTTGCGTGTAGCCTGCTGCAGCAGCACCGAGCCCCCGCCCTGCGATCCGAAGTCGCGAAAAAGTGCAACATCGTGAAAAATCACGACCGGAGCCTTGGACCCCATCCTCCTGCGCCATTTCTCGACCTGGATCGATCCTGGAGGGTCTCGGGGCCAAGACGGGCGAAATGTCCCGCTGTGAAGCGGACGCGACGCCCAGATCTCAGGGCACAGCAGCACCGCAGCACCTCGCCTCGCGGCCGCCGCTGCCGCTCGCCCCAGCCGCCCCCCCTGCCGCCCGAGAGGTGCCGAGCCGCCCCCTGGGCGACGGCTCCCCCGCCGGCAGCGCGTGCTGCTCCCCGCCGTCGTGCTCCCCGGGGCGTGCGCGCTCCTTCCGCGCCTCGAGGAGGAGCGGGCCGCGGGGCCCCCCGGGCACCTCGAGAAGGGTATGGGCAACAAGTCTGATGAACACCACATCTGATGTTCCGTCGCATCTACGATGAATGCGTAGACTGTTCCGATGATCAGCGCTGCACTCTATCTATTGTTCGTCGACTCGGCGGGAAGCCAATCTTGGGGCAAGTCAATACCGCAGTCGCTCTCCTGCTCGAACGCCTTGAGATTTGGGCGTTGCTTGCAGTGCTTCCACACCAGGCGGTGTTTCGCCTGGCTTCGGGCCCCGGGCCCTCACAGATCGGCCTAGCTCGAGAGATGCCGAAGGAGGGTGGGGTCCAGGCGTATAGGGCTCTGGCCGTGAGTTTCCGCGATGCTGTAATGTTTCGCGACATCGGGTTTCAGGGAAAGTCCAGGCGGAGGCCTTCCGCCGTCTTCGGCCTCCAGGGGGGCGCTCTCCCCGGGCGCCCTCGGGGGCCGTCAAGAGACGGCCCGTGCGGCTGCAGGATGAGACGCCGGCCCTGGGGAGAGGGTCGGGACTTCCTGGGGCCCCGCACGGTCGAGGCGCTGAAAGAGGAGCGCCTTCGGGCGCGGGAGGGGCTCTGGTTTTCGGACCGCTCGTGGCCGAGGTTGGGAGCGGCCAGACGAGCCCGTTCGCTTCTTCAATTCAGCGCCCCTCGTGGTAGCCCTGTGGCCGTGCTGATAATGTCAAGACCCTCAAATCCGACGCCGCAAGAAGAATGCAACATCGCAAACAATCATGGCCTGAGCCCTGGACCCCATCTTTTTGCGCCAGAGCCGGATCGGTTTGTGAGGGCCCCAGATCACGAAAGCGAGCGAAAACACCCGTTGTGAAAAAATGCAACGCCAAGATCTGAGGGTAGCCCGATGACCGTGCTGAAAAAGTCAAGACGTCGGGCCTCTGGGCTCCCAGACGGCCCTGCGGCCTCCACGAGATTGGTCCACACGGACAGGTACCAGGCTGGGAGCATCGGGTTGGGAGAGATGGTTAGATCTTCCGTGCTCTCGCGTGTGTTGGATGGGCTTCTTACACGGCCGTGCCCCGTATTCAGACCTCCGACGTCTTGATTTTTTCATGACGTCGACCCCCAGAGGCTTCGACCCATTCCCCGGGACTGGTTTTTCGTCCCGAGTCGTTCTTTGACGGTCCCGAGGCCCAGGAAGGGCCCCCAGGGGCCCAACATTGTGAAAAATCTCTCGTCGTGATTTGTTCTTGACGCGAGGGGGTCTGGGTATCTTCCAAGCTCCCTCCTGCCAGCACGAGGACTGTCTTCCTCGCTTGCTGCTTCTGCTCGCCCCTCTGGGGGGCCAGCCGCCCCTCCGGGCGGGAGCCCTCGGCCGGGCGCGGCCCGAGCTGGAGCCCTGGAGCCCCTGGTCTGGGCGGGCAGAATTCTTGAGGACTCCCCAGAAACTCCTCGGGAATCCTTCGGATAGGAATTCCCAAGGAATCCCCAGGAACTCCTAGGGACAATCCCGAGGAATTCCTAGGGAATCCTCAGGAATTCCTGGGGGATCCTTGGGAATTCCCAGGGAGTCCTTCAGTATTCCGCCCCCCGGCGTGTGGGCAGGGGCCCGTGGCCCTCCGGGGGGGGGGGGCGCCTCGGAGTGCCCTCCTTGCTGCCCTCTTGCGGGGGGGCCTGGGGCATGGCTCAGAGGAGGAGATGAGGCCAGAAAGGCAGCGATCGGGTTGGGAGGATGGGGCTGCGAGGAGTGATCAGATCACCCGTCTGCTCGCGTATGTTGAGTGGGCTTATTACGCTGGCGATACCACTACCTGGCGCCCGTTGCCCCCCTTTTCGGTCGCCTGGGAGGCCCTCGTCGCCAGCGTCGGCTTCGCCCCGAAGTCCTGGCCAGATCAGAGAACGAGCCCAGCTGGATGCTCACATCTCCGTCTTCCAGGGGCCGTTTGGAGCTATTTTGTTCTCTAGCCCCCCTCCTCTGCCCCAGCCCACACCTTTACACATCCCACTGACCGACGATCTGAGTCTCTCGATCCCGGCATGTTTCCTCGATTCGGCCTCTGGAGGCCGTTTTTCGGGCCCCAGGGGCCACCAGAAACGGACCTGGGGCGGCCGCCTCCGGCGATTGACCCCAACAAGTCGACTCGCATGGCGGGGGGGCGTGGCGAGGCCCGGAAGTTGGAGCCGTCTGGGTGTCTGAGCTGGCCAGCGCTGGCTCCGACCAGCAGAAAGAGCGGGCAGGTTCCATGTTCTCGGTTCGGAGAGGTGTTTTGCCTTTTTCGGCTTCCGGAGGCCGTTTTCAGGCCCCGGAACCGCGAGAAACGAATCCGGAGTGAAAAGTTGCACTCTATGGACATGAAGGGTCCAGGCACAGATTTTGAGCGGATTTGGCTTCATCACACCTCCTTCATCGTCCTCTTCCTCCTCCTCCTTCTCCTCCTCCTCCTCCTCCTCCTCCTCCTCCTCCTCCTCCTCCTCCTCCTCCTCCTCCTCCTCCTGCTCCTTTTCCTCCTCCTCCTCCCCCTCCTCCTTCTCCTCCTCCTCCTCCTCCTCCTTCCTCAAGCCATTTCGGCCTGCAGGCGCGCGCGCGCGCCCGTGCGGGCCGAGGCTGCAGGGCGCGCACCATCGGCGGCGGCGGGCTGGGGCTCGCTGTACGCCGACTCGCGGCTTGAGGGGGGCGGCAGCAGCCGCTGCAAAAGTTCCTGCAGCCCCAACAGTACATGACCAGGGGCCGCGGCTGGAAGCGAGATGAGGAGGAACAGAGCTCGTGGGCGTCATGGGGTGCGCCCTGGCGCTCAACGTCGCGATCTTCCAGCTGCAGGCCGCCCAACACAAAGGGCAAGAAGCACACGCAGTACCTGGTATGCCCTGTTTGTCCTATGGGCAGCGGCAATTGGGTTTATTGCAATCGAGCAGGTAAGCCTGGGTGGATCAACTGCAAGTCGTGTGCATACGAGTGGAAGGCACCCAGCGCTGCACCACGCGCCGAACAAGCAGAAGACGGAGGAGCCTCGGATGCTGCCAAGGCAATGGTGGAGCTCCTCAGGAAGCAGTACGTCCAGGCGCAGCAGCAGAATGACCAAGTCAAGATGGACGAGATCCTGGCGGCGTGCCCAGAGGCCAAGCCGACGGACCCCGTCGAGCCCGCTGAGCCCTCCATGGGGCAGAAGCTCCAGCAGGCGGTGGCGGAGCTCAACAAACTGCAGAAGCAACAGGACAAGCTCGCCAAGCAGCTCAAGCGGGCCACCGAGTACCTCGACGACGTGCTCAACAGGGTCAGCACCAACGTGGCCGAGCTTGCGGAAGCAAAGCGGATTTTCACCGAGGCGAAAGAAGGACTGGGTGGGGAAGATGAAGCACCTGAAGCAGAGAAGAAGCCAGATGACGAAGAACAGTCCCCGACCCTATCCCAGGATGACCTGGCCATGCTGGACGAGAAGCAGCAGCAGGAGTACGAGCAGATCCAGAAAGAGTACCAGCAGGCTAAGACGTTCATCAACGCAAAGAAAGAAGCTGTCCAGAATGCGAAGACGGCGCTCGACGCGGCCAAACAGATCCACGAGAAGGCTAATAGAAGACGTCGCGGAGGCCAGGGCGAAGCTCGTACCGACCAGGCACCAGCGGCAGCACCAGTCCCTGAACCTGTCCTACCAGAGCAGCCAGCTGGAGCAGGAAAGCCTATGGATCCTGAACTCAGGTTGGCAGCCAAGTATGACCTCTCCAAGGATGACCAGGTCCAGGCCTACCTCGCGGAGCTGGCCAAGATCAAGGGCAGGACCAAGGTCGCGTTGGCAACTAGGCAGGCACCGCCACCGCAGCAGGCAGCAGCAGCAGCAGCAGAAGCTAAAGGAGACGGAGTTGGAGGGTAGCCTGAACTCCACGCAGTGCTACTACGCGGCACTAGCAGAGCCAGCTGCGAAGGGGGGTGAGCCACAAGGGGTGGGCCACGAGCCGAGGCGCGGCAAATCCCCACTCGCAGCAGGCCTTCATCGAGGACCAAGCATCAACTCCATGCCAGCGTACGTTAAGACGGTTTGGATCGACGACGAGGTTGACTACATCACCGAGAGTGCTTTTACTCGCAGTGGTGATGCTATGGCGACCGCGTCGTCTCCTTTTTCTACTTGCGGGAGCTCTACGTGCGCTACGATGGCGTCGGACCCAGATCGTGCAGGGGCGCGGGGTTCTGGATCAACGCTCCCAGTCATCAACGGCACCAAGCAGAGCGAACTGAACGACGAATTCAGGGACGTTGTCAAAGTTTTCGTGACCAACTGCACGCAGTACAATGAGGCCGCCAAGAAGTTCGTAGAGGACGAGAAGAGCGAGGAGCATGACATGATCGCATTTAATGAGCACCACTTGCGAGGACCAGCGGCGGAGATCGAAGCTAATAGGCCCATGCGACTGGGCTGGCGATCTCATGGGACTTGGACACCAGCTCGACAGTCACCGAGACCCAAGAAAGGGACGCTAGGAGGCACCTGCATACTTCGTCGTCGGCATTTGGATACCCGCATTCACCTGCCAGACGCGCAGGGCCACAGCATCTTCGCGAAGGACTTCCACGACATCACCATCGTCAAGTGGCAGCTCAAAGGACAGGAGATAGCAGTTATCACGGCATACCTCACGGCGTCGGTTGGATTTACGGGCGAGAATATTCGCAAGATGAAGCACCTCTTGCAGCTTACGCGCAGCATGGGCAACACACCCTGGATCATCTGCGGCGACTTCAACAACACACCCCAGGAGTTTGAGGCGACGCCATGGCTAAGGCTACTTGGAGCAGCGATTGTGGTGCCACAGCACGTTAGTCATACGTGCAGCAGTGGGTCGGGCAGGACGATAGACTACGCGTTGGTCCCTCCCGTCTTTCGCCCGCTCCTGAAGGCAGTGCGAGCACAGCATGACGCCCCATGGTCACCGCACATAGGTATTGTCATAGAGATCGTTGCCAAGCCGAACATGATCACCATCCGTAGGCCCATGCTCCCAGCTAAGTATCCCACCCCTACCACGCAGGTGCGGCGAGAGAAGGGCATTAAGAGAAAGCAAAGGGACAGACAGCAGCACCAAGAAATTGCCAAGCATTTCGACTCAGAACTCCTGGACGACACGCTCCTGGACGCGTACTACACCGAGACCGTGGCTACGAAGTGCGACCCGACCATCTGGGGCGAGTGCCGCGAGGAGGAGGCACCTTGCCAAATCCGAGGCCCCCCCAGGTGGGTTCAAGACTCGCCGGCATACAAGCAGAACCCGAGGATGAGCGACTTGCTCGGCACATCACACGGCAAGTGGGCGAATGCAGCGGAGAGGGCGCTTGCTACGGTCACGCAGAATCCGATCAAGGCTACGGCGAGGAGGGGACAACCAATCTGCTATCGCGAGGCACCTTTCCCACAGCACGTTGCGAGCAAGCAGTTCGAAGACACTGCGGCAGATAGACAACGACAAGTCAGTACTTGATGGTCGAAGTTATATCAGCGACGCCACGATGGTGAACTTTTACTCCGGAGGCGCCCGATCGATAGCCAGAAGCACCTGGAGACGATCAGCAGTACCATCAGGACCTATGTCAACCAGTTGGACGCCTTCGACACAGCAGAAGGGGACGAAGCAGCACACCTTGATGGACAAGCGAGGCGCCTAGCTTCCCGCGTCACCAACCTTCGTCACGACCCTGAGCCTGGGAATACCATCGAGAATATCCAAGAGTGGCAGGAGGCGACGGAGTCGACGAGGGCACGCATGGACTGGCATATGCGGATTCTTTGGAAGAAAGTCAGAGAGCAAGTTGGACAATGGACCAGGACGGCGTTGTCAGGCAGCATGAAGGCGGCCCACAACTACATCAGCAAACATGAACGACGAGACCTACCAGACACAGCAGTGGACCCAGTTACGAAGGAGGAGACGGGCGCTCTACGCGACGCTATTGCATGTCGCGCAGGGATTTGGCAGACGAGGTGGCAGAGGCACAACAGCAGTCAGAAGTTGGAGGAGGCGATGGCAGACTTAAGACGAGCGGCACAGGACGAACTTTCCCAGCGTGAGTACTATAATGTCGACGACCTGGAAGCGGCGCTCCCGAAGTTCCGACCTACTAAAGCGCGTGGTCCTGACCAATGGCAACCACCCGAGATCAAGGCCCTACCGCCCGATGCCGAGCGCAGCCTGGTTTTCGCGATCAACTCGTGCGAGCGGAACCTATGCTGGCCACACCAATTTTACCACCTGTGGTACCACCTATTGGTCAAGGCTGGTTCTAACACTGCCGGCGGGGAAAGGCCAATTGGACTACTACCATTCCCAGTACGATTGTGGGGCAAAATGGCAAAGAGCGAAATGCAAGATTGGTGTGCAGAGAAAGCGGGCTACTGGGATGCGGCAATCCAAGGATCCCCAGCTCTTCGTGCAGCGTTACTTTCTACGTCGCTCGACGAGACCAGCGCGAAGCTCAAAGGATCGTTTTATGGTACATTCTACTTGGATTTAGAAAAATATTTACGACAGCGTCGACTTGAGCATCTTGATCAAACGAGCCATGCAGCTTGACTATCCGAAGGTCAACTTATACATGAGTATGTCAATGTATTTATCACCGCGCGCGGTACGCGCATGCCACGATCATGCTGAACCAGCATGCCCATGGAATGGCATAGTGGCTGGATGTGCAGCGGCAAACCACGCGGCGAGGGCCATGATCTACATTATCTTGGACATCACGCACAATGCGTCGCCGCTTGCCATCACGAGGGAGTTTGTAGACGACTTGCACACGAGAGTCGAAGGTCAAGCCGAACAGTTCCAGGAGCAGTTCCCAGTGGCGGTCGATGTGTTTGCGCAGGCTTGCCTGGACTCAAAGCTGGTGGTTTCAGGAAAGCCAGCGCTCCTCACGAACTGCGACGTGACCAAGAAGTGCATCGTGGAGCACCCCAGAGGCAAGGGCATCAGCATTAAGACTCCCAAGTTCGTCAAGGACCTGGGCATAGATGAGGCACTGGGAAGGCAGCGCATCACAGCCACGCGAACTACCAGGACTAAGCAGGCAAAGCTACGCGCAAAGCGTGCCAGGATCTTCAGCAAGCAGAAAGGCAAATGGCGGCGAAGGGCGGCGATACTCTTCAATTCCAATCTGAGAGCCAAGCAGAGCAACGGTTGGCCAGTTACAGGGCCCAGTCCAGCTGCAGCGCGTGAAGCGCGAGCTCAGGCGGCAGAGATGGTTGGATTTACAACTGGCGGCAGATGCACATCAACAGCCCACATCATCTTCTACGGCGAGAAAGAGCCAGCTACAGCATACCTACAGCGACAAGTACGTGAATGGGTACAGATGTGGCAAAAGGATACCTCAGCACATCAACGACGACGGCAAGGCTGGCAAGCTAATATCGAACGTCTGGCCCAGATGCGAACCCGTGGAAATCGGAACTCGGTGACTGGACCAATTGGGGCACGTATTCTCTCATTGCAGCAGCTGGGGTGGAATCCACGCATGCCAGATGAGTGGGATGATGCTAGCGGCGAGACGTGGAGGTTCCAGAGCGAGGGAGTGCTCGACTTTTGCGACACCATGAAGTCCATCACCAGGGACATGCAAGCTCAGCTCTGGACCAAAGCAGCGGACCACTACTACGGTAAGTGCATGCAACACGGGATGGACACCACCATACCCAAGAAGACGCTCCAGAAGCTACGAAAAGCCAACCGAGTTCAAGAAGCAGGCGCGTTAGAGGCACTTGCTTGCGGCACGATATGGACAGGACAACGATGTAAAGCAGCAGGACACCAGACAGATGGAGTTTGTCCGCGTTGTGCTAAGGCGCCTGACACGCTGAAGCACAGGATCTACGAGTGCGACATGAACGACAACCTCTCGATTGACGCGGTGGTCAAATCACAGTCGCTCTGCCAGAAAGCCTTAGAGGAGATGCACGACAACCCAGAGACGGAGGCGTACTGGCTACGAGGGCTACTTCCCAAGCACAGGAATCTTGTACCTGATCCACCAGCATGGGGCGATTGGAATGGCAGTTATTGGACGGCAGCAACAAGAGGACCCAAATTAATAGCAAGCGATTTGGTCACGATGGGTCCCGTTCAGCGCAGCATGGCTTTCGTAGATGGATCAGGCACCAGCAACGACATGCGCATCAATCGAGTTGGATGGGGCCTCACATTGCAGCTACGAGATGAACGATGGAAGCGGCCAGGACAGGCGCACATGTGGTGCCCCAACGCCCTCGTGGCACAAGGGAACCCTTCTGGGGTGTGCCAGGAAGCAGAGGTTATTGCACCAACGGATACAGAAGCGGAGGAGCAGAGAAAGGGCATCATGCACGACCTTGGCGCATGGGCAGCTACATGGACGGTACACATCGACCTAGACGAGACCAGGAACCAAGCTAATTGGAAGATGTGGTGCGAACCGTACATGGAAAGCTACCTGCGACAACCAGAACAAGCAGCACTACGACAATTACTCAAAGCAAGATACCAGACCCGAAGCACTAGCCAGATCGCGAAGGACCTTTGTGATATACAATGGGGATCGTCCAAGAAGAAGCGGAAAGACGTGCACGACTACTCCCTCACCCTTACGGGCTGGGAAAGAGAAGCATACATCTCCCACCGGTTCGACAGCGTAGCGGACATCAAGGCCAAGTTCCGCGAACTACTGCAAGACCGAGCACCCACTTTCGACCAGGAGATGCCTGAACATTATGAAGACAATGGTGAGGACCGACCAGCAGCCATGCATGTGGCGGCCCACGAGATCTACAAGGCCAGCTTGCCGAACGGCAGCGCGGGCTTCATCGACGGCACAGACCACATCGGGTTCTATGGCACCGTAGATGGAGAACAAAGTGCACCCGCAGCTGAACATGCAGGACTATTCTGGGCTTTGGCGCTGACGCGAGGCCCGCTATTGATCATCACGGACTGCCAGCTGGTTATGAATGGTTGGGCCCTCAAGTATTACGAGCAGCCCCAAGGAGCTCAGCGACCATGGTGGGAAATAATAAGATTCATGCTCAGCAAGCGGTCTGGCGGTGTTTATGGAGCACGTGTCCAGAAGTGCTTATCCCACCTCGACGGCGACTCGGTTAAGCAGGCTGGCCAAGAGTTCCACATCAGCATGGGCAATGAGATGGCGGATACGTTGGCGCAGCGAGGAGCAGAAGAGGCAATGGCAGAAATACGGCAGGAGGTCAAGGCACTGGTGGAAGTGGAGACTACATTTATGAGGGCCCAAAGGCGGGCGGCAGCGATCACCCACGAGGTGCGCAAGGATGCGGACCCCACCAAGCTTGAGAGGCCCAAGCAGATGCTCAAGAAAATAGCAAAGGAAAGGAGAGATCAGATCGAGAAGGAGTCGGGCCACATAATGCGAAAGAAGAAAGGGCAATGGGCATGCCAAGAGTGCTGGCTAACCCCAGGCAAGTACAGCGTGGCCGACTGGATGAAGGCTAACGTGTGCATCGGGAGGCAGTACGAGACACACCGAGCAGATCACGGACATGCAGTCCGTGTTCCCAACAATGAGCTGATCGAGATCAAAGACAAAGTGATCCACGACAGCCACAGCATTGCAGTTGCCCATGGGCAGTTCTGGTGCTGGAATTGTGCTGCGGTGGCTTCGCACAACGACTACGGACACGGCAGAGTGAACCTACTGGCGACGGAGTGCAGGAACAAGATCACGCAGAGCGGGGCTACTGTACTTCGTCGGCTACGGCAAGGACTACCACCTAAGGCTGGCCAGAATTGGCCAGATGGGACGATGCCGCCTAACGGCGGACGGCTACCACGAGTTGCAGCTGGGCGACGACCTCGCGGTTGACTTCACGGCACGGGGCTACGGCCCCGCAGAGATACTCTGGCCTGGAGTGCCAGTGGGGTGGACGCCCGCCCTGCTCAGGGGGCGGGGTCGCGACCCCTGAGAGCCCGCGCGGCCTGCGCGGGCGGGGGCCGCGGCGGCCGAGTCGACCGCGGAGCCCCTCGCTCGAATGTCCTCGAATGTCCTTCTCCTCCTACTCCTGCTCCTCCTCCTCCTCCTCCTCCTCCTCCTCCTCCTCCTCCTCCTCCTCCTCCTCCTCCTCCTCCTCCTCCTCCTCGTGTCTTACCCCAGCGTCCGTAAGTTTCTTCGGCCGACGACTCCTGTAATCATGTGATGCGTGTGTCTTTGGCGGAGCGCTCGCCCGGTCAACGGCTACTGCCCTAAGATTGAAAACTTGGTGTGACTGGAAGTTTTTTCGGAAAAGGAGGAGGAGTTTTCAAAATTGGGGCAGGCGTATGCTATTCGAGCGTTCGTTTTGCATTTTCGTGTAGTCGTTGTTTTTCGCGTGCGCTCGGGTTTTGCTCCGTGGTAATTGGAGGATTCCAGCATGAGTGTCTTGTTCCAGCGTCCGTAGGTTCCTCGTCCGACGGTTCTTGTAATCATGCGATGTGTCGTTCTTTGACGTAGCGTTCGCCCGATCAACAGTCACCGCCCTAAGATTGAACACGGGGTGGTCGAGGGCTGCTCGGAAAAGGGTGAGTTTTCAAAATTTGGGCTGGCGTGTGTTACTCAGGCGTTCGCTGCGCATTCTAATGTAGCTGTAGTCTCTGTGTATAGGGAAAGGCAGTTCAAAGGCTGGGGAACGTGTCTGCCGAAACGATGGCGTTTCCAGAGTTTGTTGTTGCTCGCGGGTGTTCGGGTTTCGTTCCGTGGTGTCCGGGGGGCTTGAGCGGGAGTTTCATATTCCAGCGTCTGTGAGTGTTCTAGGTCGACGGCCCTTGTTATCACGTGATGCGGTGTTTTTTTCGCGTAGGTTTCGCCCGTTAAGGTTACTGCCCTGGAATTGAAAACTTGGTGTGGCCGACAGTTCTTCGGAAAAGTGGTAGGTTTCAGAATTGGGGCAGGCGTGTGTCACTTTCACGTAGCAGTTGTGATCGGAAGTGGGAGGCTCGAAGGCTGGATTGGGTCTTGAGGGTTCGAAAGTGTCTACAGGGTTCGGTGTGTCTCACAGGCGTTCAGGTCTCGGCTGCAGTGATGACATGATGGTCTTTTCGAAGGTATCCCGCTCTCCGTGGTTTTCTTCAAACACGAGTTTCTTGGTCCAGCGTCTGAAAGTTTCCTCATTCGATTGCGAAAGTGTCTCCGCCCACCTGAACTAACTCCCTCGCTCGACCGAGGAAAATCTCCCCGCCCGCCAGATACAATATCCTCGTTCGGTCTGCGGAATTTCCTGGTTCGCCGGTCAAGAATTCCCCGTCTGCCCGTCGAATTTTTTTTGTCGCTTGGCCGACAAAATTTCCCCGCTCACCTGTCGACCCTGGCCTCATGCCGCCGCCGCCGCCCGGGGTCGACGGCGGGCGAGCGAGTTCGGCGAGCAGGGGGCGGGCATGGCTGGCAGTCTGGCGCGGTGGCCGCCCCTGGCCAACCGCGGAGCGAAGCACGAGGCAGCGGCGGAGACTCGCCGGCGGAGCAGCCACGGCCCTCGCAGCTCCTCCTCGGACCGCTGGGCGGGCCGGCGAGGAGAAACGGGCCAGGCGAGGCAGAGGGCGGAGCTGGGAAGCGCGGCGCACCGAGCGAGGGCGGCCGAGCACCTGCCCTGGGCGGAGGGCAGGAGGCGGCACCCAGAGGGCCCCGTTTGGCCCAACTCGCGGTCAGGAGCTCGGGCTTGGCGTGCCGCGCCGCCGGCTCTGGTCCACCACGCTTCGGCGCGGCGCGCTGCCCACGTCCCGGTCCCCAGGCGTCGGTGCCCCGAGTTTCTCGAAGCCTCCCGCCACGCGGAGCGAAGCGACACGCTAGCCGATCGCAGGGCATGGCGTGTCGCTGGGGCCGCCGCCGCGACACGCTATGCAGAAGGTCGCGACTGTATCGCCACCCATCCCCATGACCTCCACGAGGCCATTGCGGGCAGGCTGCGGCAGCGGGGTGAGCGAAGCTCTTTGCGCCGACGCAAGCTCGCAGCGGATTGAGCGAAACGTCTTGCGCCGACGCAAGCTCGCAGCGCTCGGCGGAGGGAACGGTCGGGCGGGACTAGGACGAGGATAAATCCGCTCCAGAGCGTTCCGCAACGCTCTCAGAGCGTTCCGGAACGCTCTCAGAGAAGGCCGCGGCGCCCGCGGATCTCGGAGATTCTCGATCTATCCTCACCCGAAAGTGTCCTTGTCTTGCCTTTGTCTTAAGCGGGGCGAGGTGGGGGGCGGATGGGGGCAGGCCTGCAGTCCTGGAGGATCTCGAGGCGCTGTGCCCCTGCGTCGCTCGCGCCCTGGGTGTGCTCCTCGCACGTCGGCGGGTCGCTGAGGTAGTCCTTCACAGCATCCCTGCAGTGAAGACGCCGAGGTACAGTCGGACCGAGGTATAAGATCGATGTTGGTTCCGGGAGGGTACCTTGGTGCTCTTCGTGATTGCTGGAAGTTGTTGTGCATCCTGGGGAAGGTGCCCTGGGAGTGTTCTGTTTGTTTTTGCAGACGGGGGGTCTCGTGTTTCTGAAGGGTGTTCTTTCGGCCTAGGTCCGACTGTAAGGACCGCCTTGGGTTCGGAAGGGGCTCGCCGTTCCTTGGGTCCTTCCATGGCTGTTCTGCTAGCCCTCCTCGTGCAAGCAGGCACCCTGAGGGCTAAAAAGGGGCGTCGTTCCTCATTCCTCGCTCCTTCTTGCAGCAGCTTTGACTGCAGAAGGAGAAAGAAACTGCACGAGAATAAATTGTCTACCCTAGGCTGTCCTCATAAGATCGTTTCACTTTTAGTTGAGCGTGCCGATCGCCGAGAATGCGGTGAC